AAGCGGAGAGCCGCGAAAAAAGTCCTATACAGGCCCCATGACAAGACTGTGGTTTGGATTCCATGTTGAGGAATTGATGAAGATGACTACAGTAATACTACTCAAGAGATACCATATCAGCTCCATTGGTCGCTGGTCCCCTTTACCCTCTGGGTTCAAATCCCCAAACCACCAACCCAAACCACCAACCCAAACCACAGACCCAAACCACCAATCAAGAGATACCTGAGCATAGGATTGATTTAAAAAAAAAAAAAATGAGATTCATCAGCTCTGCTTGCGAGAATCGAAGGCTACACACGGCCATCGTCCTTTCGGCAAAGAGACCCGCTCTGCAATTAGGAGTGCTCCATTTGAGATCCTCTACGGAGGCTCGGGGGGCCTGCCCATATACGATTTGACCCTGCCCATCCACAGAGAAACTCGTCAATATTTGTCCGGAAATTGGTCTCAGCTTGAGAATCCAACCTCACGAGCCCCTTGTTGGCTTGTTAGCTCGTTTCAAAAGGACCAGCAACAGTCACCGTTGCCGCTGGACAATATAGATCTGAATGGGACCCCCTAAACATTAGTTGGTGGACGTAGAAACGCGCGAACATGATGTGGGTATGGTTTTTTCTGCCTGAAGAACCCCTTGTTGGTTGGTTTTGAAAGGACACCGAAAGGAAATTCACTTCTTTTGAGGGTCCACTGATTTTGAGGCCAACTCACGCATTTCCTGAAACCCGACTCGGGTGTTCGACCAAGTTAGTAAGTTGCTAACCCAGGTCACCCACTTAGTCCGTGAATGATGGGTGAACCGTGTTACCAGGTGAAATAACAAAATAGTGGATGATCACTGATCATCCCTTCCACAAACATGGCTGGAAAACAACTTTCCTCCCTAAAAGAGACCCCCCCCCTGATGGGCTCCATGCCGACGGCACAAACTTGGGTCCCAACCTATGACCGGCTCTACCTGACAGCGTAAACAGCTCGCTCCACCGCACGTGACTTGAAGCCATGGGCAAAGTGCAGAACTGGGGGGGGGGGGGGCTTTTTAGAGGGACCCCGACAAATGCCTTCCGTGCTCCGGTTGGTGTCCCTTTAATTCCATCCAAAAGAGGGCTCCCCCCCCTCCGCCCACAAACATACAAAACATGAATGAAAAGCCTCCTGTAGGGTCCCGTGCATTGACCCGTCCCACCAAACTGGGGAACCCCCGCCTGGCCTTTTGTGAGAAGCCGAGCGTTTCCAGACCTCTACGAAATCAACATGAAAGAAAGACCTTCTGAAGGACAGGGGGCCTTGTCCAGACCTCTACGAAATCAACATGAAAGAAAGACCTTCTGAAGGACAGGGGGCCTTGTCCAACAGACACCCAAGTGGTCATGGGGGAACACACTCACTTCCCCCCCCAAACACCAGGACTCGAATCCGAGTTTTTAAAAGGAGAAGCATGTTTGGAGTTTCGGTAATTATCATGTCAATTCTTCCAGACCTCCTACCCAGCAAGGAGGAGGTGACAATGGTACGCCCAGCTAGTAAGTTGGTACCCGTTCAGTTCCCCACTGAAATAGGTCCCCCGTAAATGTGAGGTTAACCTTGTTGCTGGGCGAACAAAAACAGGGCTAAACACTTGGCCACAAGCGTCCGACCAGACCTCACATAATTTGAAGCAATCGAAATGGGTGACTTGTCGCCCGATCGCTTAAGTTGTGTCCGATGAGTAAAACACGGAAGCTTTGGATGTGAAGCGGAAACAATCAGTAAACCAGACACCTTACTCTGTGGTCTATAGTGGTTTGTAGTTGGGTTTATGGTGGCTTAAGACAAGCACATGGAGGTTGCCCTTTCCAATCTGCTGTGATTATGCCGCCTCTCAATGCTGATTCTGTGCATCCGAAGGGGCTCCAATTGTGCCGAGACATACTGTTTGCGTTCCCAGACTTGATCTGATGTGTGTGTGTGTGTGTGTGTCTTTCTTGAGTTGGTACACCTTTGTTGGGTGGCTTTACAGGGAAACCAAAAGGGGCAAAAACACCTCTCTCTCTTTTTGGGGTGCGGTTGGGTCCCTGAAATATGGCACACCCATTTGTAAACCTTTGGCTGATTGAACATTGATGTTCCGGCCGTTTCGCGAAAGAGTCAGTGCAGTGGAATACTGACGAGGATTGAAAACCAATCGGGGCGCGTCTCCGCCTTCGACACCGAAGCTGCGGCGACCCCTCCTGTAGATTCTCCGCGCACGAGGACCATTTCTGCATTAAGATGCCGATCTCGGTATAGTGCCCGCCCACCTGGCAATTCAGCCAAAGGCTCATGTCCTGTGAAAACTGGTGATCCCTCACAAGCCTAGGACCCTTGCGGTTGCCCCCCCAAGGATTGATAACCACCCTACCCTCAAGGGTGTTGGCGCTTAGACTTCCCTTTGGGCCTAAGTGTCGGGCTTCCCACAATGCGAGTCACACCAATGAAACCAACAGGCAAATGCCGGATGGTTCACAAGGGTGAAGTACATCAAATTACTCCCCTACACTTCAACATGGAACCCAACAACCCACCATTTGTAGAGGAATCTCCTTTTTGGGGGAATCCTTCCGTTGATTTGTGGGGGAGTAAGACCAGCAATTCACACTTCAGCAGGCGACACGCATCGCAAAAGTTGCTCCCAATGCACCGAAAATCCGCGCGGAGGTGGCAGCTCTTGAGGAAAACAGGCCAAGCTTTACCTCGCCGCAACCGATTTTCGGCATCCCCACTGCGGTTCTTCTGGAAAGGGTTCACCCTTTTCGGCAGCGCCAGCTTTTCGGAGAGCCACGTCTTCTTTTTTGTTCTAAGACCCGGGGGGACGGTGGAGTACCCTTCCTCCCACATTGCCATGGCACCTGTGGGGAGGCACCTGGATCAATGAAGGGCCGGGTGCCACGGCAGGTGCCATGGCACCGTGGGAGGGGGAAAAGCCCAGGCTGTGGCTCTCGAGAACGTCGCTGGCCGGCGCCTCTTTCACCAATTTGCAGCACCTGGCGCTCGCGACTCGGGCCCAAGAAAGGGCTCCTATGTGTGCAACCTGCCTGCTGTGGACGGTGACACGAAATCCGCTTCTCGCACCACGAAATGAGTTGCCATGGGTTGCAACCAGAACGTTCGTGGCTACTTGCAGGAAATCGAGTCAGAAAACCAGGGTTTCTGAACGGTGCTGCGAAATGGATGTCCTCCATTTCGTAGTGTGATATTGCGGACCAAATCCAATTCCCAGTTGGTAAGTGGTGTCTTCCATGGTAGGGCTTCATCCATCCCAAGTGGTGAGTTCGTCAATCCACAGTAGCTTTGGAGGGTCCATGTCAATCTGAACGGGTGCTCCCCATGCCACATCCTCGCAACACACCATGCGGGGACCAGGTGTTTTTTTCAGGGCCCCTTGGGATGTTCATAGGATGCTCCCGCATCTCCATGGGGTCGTTCTTGTTGTCGTCTTTCGCATCGGCCCCCAGTACCCCCGTACAGTATGCATATGGTAAACACTTGTATTCTTCATTGTAGGTAACCAAGTTTATGTTCCTTTCACCATTCTTTTTTTTTGGGGGGGGGTGGCAAGGTGTTGGTTACCTAGAAAAGCCAGGGTTTGGAGTTTCTGGATATGGCAGGACGGGAATCCTTCGCGAGCAGTCCCCAAAGCCAGCCTAACACCAAGCGAAGAGCCATCTGAGTGTCACAAAATGGGGAGGACGTTTGGGAATTGTCCTGGAACCGAATCTCCTTTTGAGCCTCTCTGAAAGCTGCGCCTATTTGGGCCCATGGGGTCATAGCTTCCAGCTGTTGGGCAACGAAAAATCGGTATGGCGTTGTTTTCTTACCAGCTTGTGGAGCTGGTGGACCCCTGAGAACCATACGCAGCACAAATACCGTGGTCCGCAATATCATAGTGTGGATGGAGGAAATCCAATTCGCACCTAAGAAACCCATGGTTGCAACCATAACGTTTGTTGGTACTTACAGGGAAATCATGTCAGAAACCAGGGTTTCTTCGGTGGTGCGAAATGGATTTCGTCCGGCTCGAGGCTGGCGCATGTCCGACAGCTCATTGGCAATGTTCCGCAAGGCCTCGGGACCCGGGGGACGCCCGAGGCGCCAAGCGTGTGGCCGGAGAAGGTCCGACAGGAGCCACGAGAAACGCAAGCAACAAGGACAAATGGGTGAAATTTCGACCATGGGGGGGGGGTCCAGATTTGGACCAGAGTTGGTTTTTGCTTTTGAGGGTGCGCCCCCTTTTGGTGGTCTTACAAGGCGAGCCATTCATTTGGTGAAATTCGTTTGGCCGAAAGAAGGCCTGGCACGTGGTCAAGTCCCGGATATTTTCTGCGCCGAGGCCCGGACAGCTCCAAACTTGGGCGAGTCGAAGTGCGACAGGATGCCTGGCATTGCTCAAAAAAACGGGTGCTATCGGCAGCGCCAAGGAAAGGACTAAGCCATTGGCTTAAACACGCAAACTCTGGTGACAAACTGAAAAAGGAAAAGGGAGGATGTCACTGTCAATCTGGGTGTTTCAACCATGCAACCAGTGCTTGAGATATAAAAAGATGGCCCGCGTCTTCTGTTGCGGGTACCTCAAACATGGATGGGTGTTCCATTCGGTTTCCCTACCAACAAGCCCCAAGCAAATACATCGTCATCAGGTCTCTGAGCGACGGGCGTAGGAACGAAAAGACCCGCCTGGCGAGCTCACGGCGGACGAATGCTGTGCATCAACCCAACTTGGATGTCAAACCCACTTGCTCAACGCAGGCAGGGGTCCCCCCAAATTGAGAGTCCTACCAATTGGTTCTGGGGCTCCATGTTAAACTGTAGGGGAGCAAGTGGGTTGTGCCGCTTGGGGTTGTTCCATATATGTGCCGAGTGGTCATAAAAAGCTTCTTCTTGGGAAGGACCCCCCCCCGTGAATCATCCATGTTGGATTTGTCTCAAGTCCAATTCAGATCCAAACCGAGCCCAAGAGTGCTGCAATGACTCGCAACTCACGTCCCATCGAGTGGGTTGGCCCGAAAAAAGTCCAAACATTTCTGTCTCTACTGCTACAATAGTGTCTTCCCGAAAAGTGGCTAAAGTCCAGGAATTCCGGAAGCCTGCATTCAGGATGCCAAGGGAAGGGACCTTCATTATGGACGCGAAAAAAGGCCCGTGTTCTGGCGAAGTGTAATAGAGCCGTCGACAAGCAGAATGGGGAAAACCAACTTAGGGTTTCATCCATCCAAAACTGGTGAAATATGAGTGATGCAGGCCTCCTGAGAACATCCCGTTCAATCATCACGCTCACTTGAAGGCCCCAATTTGTGATGTTTAAAGCCACCCCAAGGGGAACAAATGGACCCCTGTCATTGCACAACCTCCCGCTCACTTCTCGCGGGGATAGGCCAGACTCTTTGAAGCACCACTCAGGTGCTACTGAGGCCTTATTCGCAAAACGGTGCCTCCTTTATTGCCGCATAAGGGTTAGTGCCAAAATGGGAGGATTGCCCAGTTCCACTGGGCAGCTCCCCTCAGCAGCTGATGGGAGTAGGATTGATGCCACTCCCACAGCGAGGGAGGAATCCTCCCACCTCACCGGATGCCCTCCCGGCATCATGGGTGAGGACGGAAAGTAGCGAAGATCAGCTTGATCAATTCGCTTTCGACTGAGGGGAAGACCCGGTTCTCAGTCGGAAAATGCGGGTCCGGATGAGTAAGTTCATCCGCCCATGTGTTAAAGTCGCGCTTCACATGCGACGGTCCTAACATGACCTGGTGGTCATGCAGTGTTAACACAATTTCCATGAGGATGGCCGCATTGGGCATCCTGCGAGTGGAATCGGTAAGCAGGGAGAAAACGTTTCCCTGGTTATCACTAGCAACCAGAATCCTAGTGTGAGAAGCCGAGCCGGCTGCACAAAGCAGAACAGCCCTCACCAAAAGGAGGGGGCCGAAGAGCTCCAAGGCCGCTATCGCCCGCTGCGGGTCCCCAGTAGTGAAGGCCCACGGCTCGCCCTCCGGTGTGATTCTGTGTTGGAACCACTTCACTCGGGACTTGTCGGGGTTGGGCACGTCCGAGCACCAACCACCAACCCATGCATGGTCCGCCTGTTTGCCAGCTCCCGCATCAGATGCCCCCGTCCAGGGAAGTGTGGGAGCAAATGGAGATGCCAGTGGGAACCTCTGGTTGAAGAGCTTCCCCAGAAGGATGGCCAGAGCACGAACCAGCTTCGGTGGCCTGCCCGAAGTGGTGCAGGCCTTCTTCCAGCTCCAAAAGGGCTGGAGGAAAGGTTTCGTCAATGGACACGCCGAAGTAGCCCATTGAAACCGGCCCAGGGCTTGTTCCACCTCCTTGCTGGTAAAGATGTCCCCCTGGGCCAGCCGTTTGAGAGTGGCCAGGATTATGACGTGCTTGACTGGAGCCAGCAGCACACAGGGCGTGATTGGGTCCACCACGACTCCCAACCAGGTATTGACCGGGGAGAGCGCCGTCTTCTTCCAAGAAAGCGGGACTCCCAGCGCCAGAAGAGTGGCCAGGATGGCTGTGGCGTCCCAGTCCGCCCTGCTGCATCTGAGGACCCAGCAGTAGACGTCCACAAAAACTAAGTGCCAGTCCACCTGAGGGAAGATGTAGTACAAGAGTCTGAGCACCAAGGATGCCTTTCTTCCCCAGTACAGTTGTGCCGAGGCCATGCCGTACGTGCCCACTCTATTGACCCCCCACCGGTTCTGGATGCAGGCCACCTGGTATTTCCAGTCTTTCTGGAGCACTTTTATGCGCCTGTGGGCCTTGGTGACATCCGCCTTGAGGATGATGAAGGTTTCCCCCTGTGTCGGCGGCTGCCACGTCAGGGGTTCCCCCCTGCTCCCCCCAGGGCGTTCCGTGCCTGGGGGGGTTGGGGGGAATGGGGCCCTCCTATCAGGGCCCTCGGCGCCTGGGAGTGGCCCCTTCCTTGAGGGTGTTGACCGCGGAGAGACGTCCAGGCCGCCAGAGGTCTCCATCATCCGCCTGCCCCTATCAGGGCCCTCGGCACCTGGGGGCAGGCTGGTGCTGTGGGGGTCCCTCTCAGGGCCCTCGGCACCTGGGGACTGCCCCAGCACCGGCTGGTGAACATCCCGAGGTTCCTCATCAGTGCCCGAGGATGGGGCTCGGAGTAGATGAGGATGGTCCGCCGCTGTCCTGAGCCAGTGGATGGTATGGAGGCAGTCTCCAACCATCGGTGCGGTGGTCTTCTCCTCCGTGTGAGCCTGGATGTGTGCGTTTGCTCCCCCTTTTGAGCCATCATAGATCGTCCTGATCTTGTCCGACTCATCACTCCCTGCAAGGGGGCCCGGGCAAAGTTCCTCCGGTTTGCAGCGGCACCTCTCTGCCGCCTCGGAGCGAGTGAAGGGCCCGTCCACCATGTCCAAGGCTCGTTCCTCGTAAAAGGTTGATTCGATTTCCTTGGCAAAGAGTTCAGCCGTTGGGTAGTTTTCATGAGCCACTGGCGGGGGGGGATCTTCCCCCAGCCAGGC